TTTGAATTTCTCTAGTTAAATTTATGTTGTTGTGTAATGAGTAGGAGGACAACGATGACCTCTTTCTGAGTGCATTGTTGTTGAACGGCCATTTATTGCAGAAACTCAATCTAGCTATAGCTTCTTCTAACCTTATTTTCTTCCATTAATTAAGACTTTTAATTTTTCTTACGCATCAAAAAGTCTATTGTTCTCCGGTGAGAAGAGATGGAGAAGAAGCTTGGAATATAATTAACATGAATGATCTTGACCAAATTAAGAAGGGAAAAAAAGTAGTTTCGAGGAGAAATGTAAAACGTGTTTGGCATGCAAAGCTTCATTAGCTTTTGAATTCTCACATCTGTCACCTTCTCCTGACTTTCTGATCATCGATCTCCATTCTCCTTTTTCATATTAATTTCTTTCAAACCCCATTTCCGTACTCTGGACTTGAATTCCCTTCCCTTCCACACCACAATTAGCCACCATCGTACCTCGACGCCGCCGGCCACAACCGGTGACATAATGGCTCTCTTGTCTCTCTCTTCCCTCAATTCCTCGTCCTCCATTATTAAGTCTTTCTTCTCTATCTTATGTATGTACTTAATTTTGAATGTTGCAGCTTTTGTTTTTTTTTTTTTTTTTTTCTTCCAACAGTGATATTCATGTTCTGGCAAAAGAAGTTAAGCAAAGAACAAATGCATGCCGGACAGTCTTTCTCAGTTTTTTGTTGCAGTGTTTACAGAACTTCTGACCTCATCGATGGGACGTTTAAATACCTTTTAAATTTATTAATTTTGATTTCTTCTCAAACCAATAATTATTATAATAATTATTAATTAATGTATGAACACATAACATCTGAGAGTTTTGATCAGATATTTATATGCAATAACAAAATCGAAGCAAATGATATGAGACTGAGAGTGATATATGTATGTGTGGGGAAGAAACTGAACATGTCTGGTTTTGAAGCTGTCGGAAAAACACGAGTCGAGCATTCTGTCCCATATGGGGAACCATGTGGGCTCTCTCCATATATAGAGGAAAATTCTAACAAAATTGATTTCACTAACATATTACAGCTACTTGGCTCCATAGATAACCGGCTGTCTCCTCCTCCGGTCACCGGAAACCTGATGGGTCGAGGGAGGCCCGTAATTCATCTTCGTTGTGGGGAAAGGAATTATTTGATGCAGAGATTTTGAAAGAGAAAAATCATGGAGATCATGTGGGGGGACAGAAGTTGGTTGGGGGGAAAGTAAATGCGGTTCTTGGAAGTAATGGCTATTTTGGGGAAGGAAAGGGTAGAGATGAGTCGCCATCAGAGGTTTCTTCATTTGGCCTGACATGTTCTGATACCTCCCCGGCTCCTCTCATGGCCTTCACCGCTTCTACATCCGGTAGTCTCTCGGCTCTGCCTTTGTTTGAGGAAGAGAAAATTTTTTCTTCCGGAAAAAGAAGAAAGATTATTGCTAAGTAGTAAAGAGAAGGGTTTTATTAATCAGGAAGGGTTGAGTCTTTAATTGTTCATAACAATTATTAATAATTAATTAAATTAGGGATTAGGAGGGAGACAATCATACATTGGTGTTTGCTGCGCAGTGGAAGAGGTTTTAAATTTTCTTAATTACCGTAATGGGTTCTCTTTCATCCTCTGGACATGGTAATGGTAGTAAATTAGTAAAGATTTATTGACTTGTGTTTTAAATATACAAATTAAAAATGGTATCAATTTTATTTTTTCTATTTATTTTTTATAAAAAAATAATAAAAATTAACTTTATTTTTCTTACTTATAATATATATTTTTAATTGAATAATTAAAAAAATTAAAGTTATTTTCTAATTTTCAATACAAATTAATTATAAAAATGTGAAATTTGCAACTTTCAATCTCAAGGCCGGTGACACAGGGATCAATTCTCATAAAATCTGAAAACATATCGGACAATCACCAGACTTTTCTGGTGGATTGACTACTGAATGGAGATGAGAGATTTTGAGCTGTTTGGCTAGATTATTTTATATACTACACGGGGTATTTATATTTGTTGTTTAGATACACCTAATAGTAGATATTCAATAATTAAGAAATGTTTTTGTTTATAAAATAGAATATTGAATTGATTTAATTAGAGAAACACTAATAACTAGTTTTGAGTTGATAATTGTTTTCATTTATAATACAAAATATTTAATTGATTCAATTAGAGTTAAGACTAATATAGCTAGTTTTGAGAAAATAAAACAAACACCCCTTAAGTAACACTATTATATACTACTGTCCTAACATATTTTATCTTTTTATTTTGAATTTATTTTAAATTAATTATCTCTTCTTTTTTTTTCATTTGTTGGGGTAAATTTTTTTTTTTAGTTTAATCTTATCATTATCCTTTTACATTTTTATTTATTCTTGTATTACACACAAAAAGTTTTTCTTTTCTTTTTTATCTCTTTTTTAAAAATAACATAAGTAAACACATACAATTGTTCTCATATCTTTAATTTGACAAAAAAAAAACAGTTATTTTGAAATAGAAAGAGTGAGAATTATCATTATCATTATTATTATCAACAACTTAAGAGGTTTAATAGTAATTTTTTTAAATATATATATATATATATAAGATTTTGAGTTTGAGTCATGTAATATACAATAAAAATGAATTTAAAAGATTAGAGAAGATTATCTCACATTAAGTACTAAAAAAAAACAAATAACAAAAAAAGTCATCGTTTCCATTAGTGCAATTCATTTACTCTTTTCTCACCAAAATTTTGGGTTTTCTTCTGAAATAATGTTACTGTCAAGGGTTTGTTCATTATTATTAGCGATGCATTTTTTGACTAAAACTTTTATAAATATTAATATACTCCAAGTATAGCTTGATTATTCCATATATAGTAATGATATACAAACAATTTATTTGTATAATTTTATTTACAATTTTCATATATTATTAAATGAATTAATGAATATAATATCATGAATTTTAATAAAATGAAAAGAACTAATTATTAAATGACATATAAAATTATATGAAAAAATTGTACAATAAAAATTGTCCTTTTATCATTTTCTCTCAATACAATCCTATAATAATAAGGAATTTTAATTTTAAGGAAGTTGTTGTTTGCTAGGTAACATCAAGAAAAATAATTTCTTTAAATGTATCAACTTAATTCGGCTGTAATGTTCTTAATATCGCCTAAGAATAAATTAATCTTCTTTTTTTTTAAAAAAAAAAAAAAAAACTACCTCCGTCCAACTTTAATTATCATAATTTGATTTTTTGGACATGATGACAATTTAACATAATACAGTGTATAAATGACAATTAATTTTTTTTAATTAAATGAAACTACTTAATAAGAACTACATATAGAAAAATAAAAATTTTCGATTGTCATTCATATATGTTATTAAATTTTTATCTAAAATTCATGTCTGAAAAGTCAAAAAATCAACTTAAACAATTAAAGTTAAATATAAGGAGTAATATGAATTTTTTTCTCCCAGTTTTTAGCATTCTATCCCTTAGATTCCTACCTTTGCACAAACCAGATATCTACCTCCAATAAACCATGCAACTGGTTTCCAAAATTCTGCTCGGCAAACCACGTTGGAAAAACATGCTTTCAACTGTTTCCTTCTGCACGTACAAAACACACAATTGGCTACAATTTCATTGCTCTGTTAAATAACTTTTTGGTCACCAATCGTCCTTCTGCAATCACCCACTAAGATAAGAAGGCATGTAAACATTTCAATGTGCTTCGCCAAGCATACCTAGACTAGCCTAGGGCCGGCACCGACCCTCTTAACCACATAATAAGTCTATTTTGAGCCCGTAGACCCTGTTACGGGCCGGTCCGATTACCAAGAGTAGGCCCATCGAGTGCTTAAAGATAAATTGGAATTTAGCCGCTAAGTGCCGTTTTTAGAGGCCCAATGTGTTGACTGACGTGAACAAATTTTCGGTGGGAAAATAATTGAGAGATTAACCTTTTTTTCTACAATTTTTTGATATAAATTTATGTTATTTAATGATAAATTCTTATTACTCTATTGAGATTGTGTTTATTTAGTGATATGTGAAAATTATAAAAAAAAATTATTTAAAAAATTGTTTTAAAAAATTATCTACATATCAATACCCCTAGAGGGCAAATTGCTGTCGACTTGAACTATAAACAATTAGTAGATGATTTATAGATAATTTTTTTATACAATTTTATATATTATTTAAATAATTAATTTTTTTATTCATTTAAATTTTTATTATTAAATATATTTATTTAATAATTTATAACCAAAAAATTACATTAAAAAATTATATTAAAATATTATCTCTATTTCACTACTTCTTAAAAAAAGTTAAGAGGAAGAATATTAACGTGTGGCCCACGCCATTTTATTTGCTTTTCTTTCATTTTTTCCCTCTTTTACTCTTTAGTCCTTCACTTTTCCTTCCCCCAATCGCAGTGCAAGTTAACTGAACAAACATCTAGGTGAGATTCGTAGATGAGATTCGTGACGATATAGGGTATAAGCAACAGTGATTTAACAGTAAATTGATTCTGTCCTTCGAAATATCACTGCAATAGACAACATCGATGGTTGAGGATTGCGAGGGCCAACCTTTCGCCTCCACGCAAACAGAAACACAGCTTAGAATGAGACGGGGAATGAGCTAGTTAGTTTTGCCTTTTGGTATTTCCCTGTTCCGTGAGCGGATTATTATTATTACATCTAAAATAGTGTTAATGTTATATTTTTTTAATATAATTATTTATTATATTTTTATATTATATATTTTAAAAAAATTATATGTATTTTTATTTTTTAATAAATTAAAAAATATAATAATCAATTAAGATAAAAAATATAACATTAATAATTAAAGATATGATAATAACATATCCCACCCAAGAAAAATAAAAAAAGTGTGCCTGAGAAACAAAAGAACAGGTAGAAAATTTGGATCCAATTAAAAATATGTGCCACAAGGGAAATCAATAATTCTATGATCACCATTTAACAATACCAACATATTTTCATCTCTCAATAGCAATGTAATGTACAAAAACATAAATAGCTCAGAAATATCTGCCAGCAAATATTGAGTTCAAAATGAAAAAATAGGAATATCACGGTGCCTGCAAATAAAATCAATGAATAACATGCATATATTATCTCAGGTATATTTTCTACGTACAGTTGCGGGTGATGTGATGCACCTTTTGGGGACTTGAAGTAGTGTTTGATCCGAGCACATTACGAGTTGTGGGGCTGTAATGCTGCTTGAAGATTTTTCACAGCATTATCATATTGCACAAAACCCATGAACCAAAATTCATGGTTGTCGACTGATATAACTTGGATGTATTTCTCAGTTGGCTTGGCTCTGCTTGTTGATGGGTTGACTGCCCTCAGCTGATGTAGTGGAATAACCACCTGGTTTTTATGCGAGAGAAAAGGATGGATGGCAATATCAATAACCATGAAAACCAGACAGAGATAGACGTGAATGTTAGTAATTTAGCATACTAAGATGAAAGAGTACAGATCTAACAAGAAGCATGCAGTATTTATCAAATGATGTCTGTAATTCACTAAAACCTGAAACTGAAATATACGGGTTAAAAAACCAATAATCCACATTATATTTTTATATATTGCTGGGAATACTAATGAGGAAAGATCATTTTAGCCTCCATGTATTAAGGGTCATACAGGGAAAGGAAGTATGAAAAGGGATAAAAAAATAGATCAATGGTAAATGGCTTATCAAGTATGGAACGACAGTATTACACTAACTGATGGGGTAATAACTAACAAGGAATAATATATATATATATATATATACACACACACACACACTCCATAAACAATTTAAAGTTCCACTTGTAAAATAGATAGGAGCTGAGCAATATTGTATAATTTAAAGCAATGAATCAATTAATGCATCAAACCTATCTATCCTTAAATGTGCTGCCATCAACGAAAGGGTCCGACATTAAATTAACACCTAAGATGGTTAACTAATTAAAGCACAAACCCAAAGAACCAGTAATCTAAGGAATAGATGTTCATATGATATTAAAAGACAGTTTCTATATCAATTAAGCAAGAAAAGTGGAAGGGAAGTCCATGCACCAATATTAGAAGTTCATAGCCACTAGCTCCCTCCCTTCTCAGGGAAATTCATAATCCATGCTTTATCAGTGACATCTCACAAAATTCATGAAACACAATGTTCTCAAGCATTTATCATGAATACGTGCATTGTAAAATCCTGAGCTTGTTTCAGATGCACCAAATTAAAATGCTAATAGGAGTAAGATAGCCATCATATACCTTATAATAACTCCACTGTGTCTCTTCACCAACTTTGTAAGAAAGAGGATTGTCACTACAAAATGCAAGTTTTGCGGTGGAAAAATACAAGACTCCCATAACTGGACCTGCAGATGTTGAAAGATAGCAAGCATATGTCTTCAGAAGCTTCTCCCCCGGAACAGTCTCAAATGTTTGTGGAAAGATCTTCTCATAACCACCCTCAGCAAGGACTTTTGTGCTATGAGCAATTCTTCCCACAGCAGCATCAGCAAAACTAGGCCCGGTTTTCACTGATTGAAGAAAAAACCTACTATCAAATTCCTCTGAACAACCATTATAGTTGCAGCTTTTGTTGATACCACAATTAACTAATAAACCCGAATTTGATTGTGCATCAAAGTAATTTGCAAAGATTGAAGATATATTGAGGATGAAACATGAATTCTAGAGGTACACTACACTAGAAATTCAGTTTAATTCTAACCATATAAAAGTTGAAACGCTTACAATGCTGCCACATGTTTCCAGCAAGATCTTCAGCCTTCTTCGTGGCCTCCGCTGCCTTCTTTCCCCATTTCCCTAACACATCCTTGACTGAATCAACTTTACCTGCTCAAAAACAAAGCAAACAAACCAGCAGCCTCAGATTTAAGTCTCCACAATCTTCAAACATCAACACAGATGATCTAAGATCACGAACAACTTACTCTTCATAGAGGACGATTGAGCCGGTGAAGCCGAAACATAGGGATTGGACTCAACCGGCATGGTGGTGGCTGCGCTGCCTTCGATCGGAGCTGGACCAGTATTCGGCTGCGATTCGGCTCCCACGGAGACGGATGTCCAGTTTTCGGGAGGCGGAGCAACGTCCTCGGGGTCTAGCTTAGGGTACGGAGCGTAATCGGTGGAGTGATAGGCGGATTGCTGATGCCGCTGCTGCTGCTGCTCATGGTTAATCTGCGACGATAATTGCTTCGGCGGCTCCGCTTGGTTTTCATTGACTTTGTGCTGCTCCATTATTGGCAATTTGTTTGGATCAAACCAGAGGAGAAGACGAAGAAGAAAGGACAGGAAATAGCCTCGAGATTATCGGAGGTGAGGAAGAGCCGTCCAGGACTCCGGACCAAAAATTCCGGCAGGAGATCGGAATCGGATCTTATAAAAATCCGTCGGTCAAAATCATCCAGAATTTTCCTGAAGCCATTTCTTCACGACACGACACACGATTTGTTTACTTCGGATTTTGAATCGGGTCTATTAATCCTTTGGGCGGGTCGGTGGAGTTAAGCCCAATGATATATTTCTCACAAGTTGATGGGCTACTAACGCTCGGTAGTCTAAGATTGGGTTTTATCATGCCTACACTTTATTGCCACTACTAATTTGTTAAGATGACTAAAACTATTAAAATTTTATTTTAATTTCACTATTAAAAATAGTTAATAATTAATAAAATATTATCAACAACTTATTGGTATGAGTGGGATGAACTCAATTCCTCTTAAATAAGATCTTGAATTCGAATCTTGTAAATGGAGAAACAAGTATTGTAAGAGCTTCGCTCCTAATGGAGTCCAATATGACTCGATTCCAAATTAATCGAATTCAATGTGGTTATCAGATACTGAAAGGTTAATATAAAAAAACTAATAAAATATTTATTATTTATCATTTAATAGATTAAAATTAATTTATAAATAGATATTTTCAAATATCATTAACTATTTAAAGAAATTATAAATTAATAAAATTACAGGTAGAATTGATAACCTTAACAAAACTAATGGTTGCCATAACCCCATGCTTAAACTTCAGCCTTCCTAAATTCAATTGTCTGCGACTTTTTTTTTTTACATTTAATAATAAATTATACAAAAAAAATAACATTCTTATTTCCTTAAATCTCTTCTCATCCAATTTAAAATTTAAAAATAAAATATCTAATTTTAAATTTTAAATTTTTAACTAGTTGAATCATGTCTTTAATATTTGTGGGGTCTGTTTAATAATTGGGCAGAAGGCCAGAAGGCCACAAAGGTTGGGCCCATTCAGAGGGTTCCCTAATTTTATGTAAAAACTCCAGTAGTGGCTGTAGTGCTGGCGACAGTGGTCCTCGGAGAAGTTCTCCATGCTCCAGCCAAGCACTGTAGAACTGTGAGTCAGTGAAATGGCCCTGCAAAAGTAAACCAAAAAAGGCCAGTTTTAAGGGATCAATAATTTGTGAGGAGTAATGATAGGAGAGCGAAAATTTAGGATCAATAATGAATTATAAGTCACATTAATTATTAAATTAATTAATATGTATAATATTATAATTTTTAAAAAAATTAATTATTAAATGATATAAAAATTATATTTTAATATTTTAAATAACATAACTTATACTACATCGTTAATTTTAAATTTTTAATTCTAAATTTTGGTAGCTTTTATCATTATTCATTATTCATTTATGAATTGCAAATGTGTATTAGTAGTCCAGGACCAGGATGTTTGTTCTAGAATCTAGACGTATCTATTTTGGAACTTTAAGACAGCCCATTGAGCATTGAGCATAGACCCTGTCTTTTAGCAATCTGAGGTAGGAAAAGGCAATCCCCCAAATAATGATTCTATCCAAAATTCCAAATGCTTTTTCACATCTACTTTTAATTATTCAGCAAAATTATGGTTAACAAGGCCTCATTTTAGATTTTTTGAGATTCGATGATACCATGGGTTATATAAATGGACACACTCCAAAGAAAATGTCTCAGTTGATAAAAAAAATTTAAAAATCTTGTGTTTGAAGCTTCAAAAGGGAATAATAAAAAATTTAAGTAAAAGAATATTATTTTTATTGAATAACCCATTATTAAAAATACTAACACTAGATGCAGCAAAAGTAGCCTTCACACCTACTTAAGTTTCTCTCAACCGTATTCACTAATGTAGAAAAAAAAAAAAACTCATCTTATCATTAAATGTACTAGAAACTAATATAAATGTAAACAGCTTGCCTCTTAATTTTTCTTAAATTCCTTTGAATTCGCCCTAAAATAATCTTCACCGTTCTTGTGTTGGATTCATTCCTACCAAAAAAAATTCCATTATTTTGTTAATAAAATTATAATTATAATATTATGCAAAATTGTAAATTTATAATTTTACATAATAGTAAGTAAACTATGATATGAAATTAAATAAGTAAATATATATAATATAATAATTTCACATATCACATTATAATTTTATAATTTTATATGATATTACAATTATAATATTTTTATTGTTTTATTTAAATTATCTTTCAAGATATTATCTTATATAAGTCTCAAAATAGAAACATGATATTAAATTGCGAATATGTTTCAATTTTTGTGATCATAAAGAATCAACTATAG